GTGAAGGACACACCCCCACCTTGTGTGGACATCCAAAAAAACCTGAGACTGCTTCTGGGAGCCGCCATCTTGGATGTGATGTGAACATCGTCAGCAGATTAAAGGACAAAAAAGGGATAGTTTGCCTACTTTATATCTGTACACCGGGCTCCAGTTATTGTCATTCACAATACTGTATATTGTAAATGTTGCCCATTTCCTGCCCATGTATTGTAACGGCTGTTTGTTTGTTGCCCCCATATTACAATGATTACCTGTTTGTTGCCCACATATTACAATGATTACCTGTTTGTTGCCCACATATTACATTGATTACCTGTTTGTTGCCCACATATTACATTGATTACCTGTTTGTTGCCCACATATTGTAACGATTGTCCATTATTTAAATACCTAATATAACGATTGTCCATTTGTGGACCACCTGCTGTAATGATTGGCTGTTTGTTGCCCACGTATTGTAACGCTTGTTCAATTTTTCAAACGCCTATTTTAACTACCGTCCATGTGTTCCTTGCCCATTGTAAGGACTGCCCGTTTGTTGCCCACATATTGTAGCAATTACCCCTTTGTCTTATAATAAATGTCCATTTGATACCCCCCCTTCCCCATTGTAACAATTGTCTGTTTGTTGCTTGTATATTGTAAGTAGGGATGCACCAATACCATTTTTTCGGTATCGACCACGAGTACCCATATTTTGGTTTCGCTACTCGCCGATACCGAGTACCGATAGCGGTCCTTCCGCTGGCATAGAGTCAGCTTCCTAGGCAATCAGGAAGCCCTGCGGCAGGTAATGACATGCCACCCGGCTTCCTGATTGCCCGGAAAGCTGGCTCTATGTTGTTTGGCCGGCTTGATTGCTATTGGCCGGGAAACCGGCTTCCCGGCCAATCAGCATCAAGGCAGCTTCCAGACAAAACAGGAAGCCAGGAGGCGGGTCATTATTTGCCTCCCAGCTTCCTGATCGCACAGGAAGCCAGCTCCATGTTCCCCTACAGCACTGCGGGTCAGAGGAAATCTTCCTCTGATCGGAAATTCTGGTATCGGGGAAGGTATGGGAGCATTTGGGCGAGTACGAGTACTCGCCCAAATACTCGATATCAACACCGATACCAAGTATTGGTGCATCCCTAATTGTAAGACTTTCCAATTTGTTACCCTGACATCTACATTGGCTGTGCAGAAATTCCCTGGGGTCAGAACACACAAACCCAACCTTAATGACAACCCTTTGCCCAGTGATTAGTTGTGTCCTTCAGTAGACCTCATGTGACCCCTTGTAGATATACTGATATTCATGGCCTATCCAGGAGAGAGGTGAGATTCCAGCCAGGACTGGTACCCGTGGGATGGTGCATACAGATGCCAGGCCATGACCTGCCTGCCCAACATGGCTCACCGCCCACCGAAATAACTTCTTGCGGATCTCTCCAAGAAAGAAGACACAAGAGGCGGGGCATCGGGTCTGAAATGTATTTATTTATGGAGCCCCCCTCAGACCACAAAGTATACAATAAAAAAAGCAGATAAAATATGGACCCCGTACAGCTATACATAGAAAACATAAAACAAGATGAAGGGTGTTGTTAATAAATCATTAAAAATATCGAAAAAGAATCTGTGACGTAACATTATATATAAATGCTTTTCTCTTTGCTTCATCGTAAAGTCTCACAGCTCAACCAAACAATCTTTTCCCAGCCAAGCCGGTCTAGGAATCCATCTTGTGCCCCATTGTTGTTGGCGGTATACAGAACCCACAATGCCTTGCAGCCTTTGTCACGGAGCCCCGCCTCTGTACAATCTTGGTCCATTTTGCAGATCGTAGTAAGAAAATCTGAAGTTTGATATCTGAGTAGCACGCACGGGCTGGATTGGAAAGACAGATGCATGTTACTGTTGGCTCTTGTATTGCTTTGGATGCAGTAGGGAGGGCCGTCGGTTATGTCGCAGAGCAATGAATCCAGTTATTGTGGCTTGGACCTCATGCTGTTAATTTTTTTGTGTTGGTGACGCAAAACGGTGACAGATTTCGATGAGTGGGTACAATGATGAGCAGAAACGATGGGTGAAGCTGTTGGGGACCTCCACATTTGTTTCCCAGCTTGGTGGTAGAACAGATGCACAGTATGCACTTTCTATGTCCTCAGTAGAAAAAGGACATCATCATTATAAATGCAGCCAAAGCATCTTTATATTGAAGCATTGGTCTGCCCTAAAGTCATATTTCACCTACAGATGATGCCTGCCTGAGTCAACTCCTGGCTACTTGTGTGGCTTTCATAAGCCAAGAGGGAGATCTCCCGGCTATGATTCTTAACTCTGTTCCTGTCTACATGGGAGTTTTGGGTGGTCCCGCCCGCGTTTGTGTGTTTCAGCTCCTCCTGTTACCTTCTCTATAATACAAAATAAATACAAAATGCAGCAGAGATGGTGGGAACCCCCTAAGAATGGTCACACCAGGTGAACACAGCGCAAAGGTCGCATCAGTCGAGTCCCCCCAGAGATAGAAGAGACAGTCACAGGGGTTAAACTCTTCAGCCTCAACCAAACACTGAAATCACTTTTGGGTGGGCTGACCCTTTAAAGGTCAATAGACCCAACACTGATATGTCCGTTTTTTGATGTTTGCTAGCAAGCTGAATCACACATTCCTATTCCTCTAGTGGTCAGGCAATCCCATCATCCAAGTGCCATGGCACCTGAAAAGTCAAATGATGGGTGTCACGCTCCCTTGATGAATTCTCTAGACTGTGTAATCAATATTTGGGTATTCTAGCTGTGGCAATTTAGCACTGCCCTGAGGGGAAATCCCTACAACAGGGCCCTTGGGCAGCAGTAAAACCAAGCAGAGGTTCTAACTCTTCCTCAACCAAGCTGAAACTAGAGTTGCCTCTAGACCAGCAGCCATGTCTAGAGTTATACTTTAATGCTGGTTAGTGGTACATTGGTGCTGCAGCCAGGACTGCATACCCCAGCAACCAGTAAATTGCCGTACAGTTCACAGTGGAAGACAAAGCGAGGGAGGAAATACATATTAAGTTGTATTTTGTAACAGGCGTTCCCCTTCGGGCTGGTGAACACCATTGATAACCACTCCCCAATGGTGACGAGGCTTAGAACGGCAAAAAGAAAGCCACAGAAAAAGATTTAGGTTGTAAATGGGGCAAACATATTATGTACACATACATTCTGCACTGCCTGGGGTCCCAGCTACAGGAAGCTGCGTGTGAGCTGGATAAATCAGTGAAGCACGGCTGTCATTTGGACATCTCCGAATCAGATAAACGACAATTGATGAAAGAAGACTTGTCCCGTCCGGTATGAAAAGGGGATAAATATGTGTATTAGGCAGAACGTCCTTGTCATAATCAGGTTTATGTCATAAAAAAAAATACACCCCAAGGTCAGGGGACTCTGCAAGTCATGCTTGAAGCTCAAATGAATTTAGCGAGCCAAAGCTATTGCCAGCTGGGGAACTAGAATCATGTCATTCATCAAAGATAGCAGGAGGAACAAACAGTATGGAAACCCTTTTTGTTCCAGGATATTGGCACTCACAAAGGGGTCTGTTATTTGTTAAAAACACTTAAAGGAGAACTATGAGGTGAGTGATATCCACTCACCTCATAGTTCTAGCCGACCTGTGACAATGAGACTGTCACAAGTCGGCTCAGTAGATCGGGAGGTGAGCGAACACATACCAGGTTCGCTCACCTCTCGATCCTGTCACGGCTCTCTGCCGTGACAGGGGAGGTGCTGGATTCCCCCCTCCCCGCTCCGATCTGCCAGCACTGACTGGTGCTGGATGGACTGGTGAACGGACAGGGGATGGGGCGGGTACAGCTGGCTCTGCCTCTAGATAGGCAGAGCCAGCTGTCACTCACGCAGCTGGGCGGATCCCGTCATCTACGTCGGGATCCGCTCCGGCGTCTCAGTATACCGCGAGCTGTAGCTCGCGGTATACTGAGCTTAGGGTAACGGGAGGACGCTAGTTTGTGTCCTCCCGTTACCCTAAGGAGAACTATGGGGAAAAACACTGACCCCATAGTTCTCCTTTAAGGACTCTTTACACAAGTATTCATTACCAGGAATGCATCTATTAGGGCTGGACCAGGACTAAGACGTACACCAGGTCATGTCTTTATACCTGAAGCTGGTAAAACCCAAATGGAGAAATGATGCCTATGCATTATTAAGTCTCTTTGCCCCCTAAAAGAATGGCAGTGATGGCAGTCTATTCAACAAGCAATTAGTTGGTGGCCCTTTTAGATAAGCCCCTTAAATAGTTCTTCTCAATAGGTAATGAATTGGTGAGGATGGGGGATCTTAGATAAGCAGAGAGTTAGTGGGTCTCCTATATGAATTAGTTGGCGGATTTCTTAGATGGACAATTTGGCAGGTTTCTTAGATTGACCAGGTCTCATAAATAGACAAGTTGGTGAGTCTTTTGGATAGGCAAGTTGGTTGCCCTCTTAGATAGACAAGTTGGTGAGCCTTTTGGATAGGCATTTGGTTGCCCTCTTAGATAGACAAGTTGGTGAGCCTTTTGGATAGGCAAGTTGGTTGCTCTCTTAGATAGACATGTTGGTTGGTACTCCTTTTTAGATAGACAAGTTGTTGTCATAAAAACAAAGAATTGGCGCATCTCTTGGATAAGCAGTGAGTTGGTGGGCCTATTAAGATGCCTAGATTATAAATTATTGGCTCTTTTTGATGGATAAGAAATGACTTGGTGGAACTATCACTTGGTGCATCTCAAAGATAGATAAGCAAGAGTTGGTGCGTGTCGTAGAAAGGCACTGGGTTGGTGCATATCAAAAATGAATAGGCAACAAGTTGGGTTTCCTCTTACGTAGACTGGTAAGGAGATGGTGTGTCTTATATAAAAAGACAACAACTGATCTCTTTATGAATAGGCAATGTGTTGGCGTTGGCGATGGGTTGGTGGGTCTCACAGACAGGCAATGAGTTGGTATTTGTCTTGGATAGGCAAAGAATTGATGGGTCTTAGATAGGCAAGCAGTTGGTGTGTCTCACAGATAGACATGGAAGGAGTTGCACGCCTTGGCCAGCTTTGTACTTTTGGCGCATTTACCACCCCGGAAGAGTTAGAGAGTCTGTGTCATAGATTGGCAGTGATTTTCTCAGTCCGTGGTACAGGCACATTGTTCCAGATGTCGGCGACAATGACTCATAAACTGGACACGTCTTTCAACTGTGCTGTGACGCCTTTCACCTTTTCATTCAGTCGGCTGATGCGGTAGGTCTCGTAGTGTATGTTGTGGGTTATGTCTTTCAGGTCTTGCAGGTTGGATCTGGAGGAAGAGGAATGAAGACCAAAATCACTACGTTGGGAAATTGTTACAAAATTATTTTGGGAAGTCTTTCCTATCGATGATTTGCTGTACACTGATTATAGCATGGAAACCCTCTGCTTTGTGGCTACTCAGAACCTATAAGCCCCTGCTTGTCTCACCAGGCTTATGCTGAGATTTTTAGCTGCTCAGCAGTACTCAGGCCTGAGTAAAACCTGATCCTGTGTCTGAAACAATCCTTGCTGAGACATACTGGTGGTTGAATGATGTGGCACAGATTATCATAAAAACTTAAAGCTGAGTTCCAGCCTTCCCTTGAATCTTGCACAGCTGTACAAGTTGCTACTGAAGTTGCTTACTCCGATCTAACTGCACACTGCGAGCCTGTCACAATGTGCATTAGAAGCTGCAGCAAGTCAGATAGAGCCCACCTGATTTCCTGGCTGGAGGACATCCAGCATCATCTGGCTCTGCTTTTTCCTCCCTAGGCTTACTGTCACAGCCTGCCCCTTTTATTTATTGGATTTCATTTTTTGCAATCATGGGAGATCAGCATCACATGTGGGCATTTCCCAGGGTGTTCTGCATGCAAATGTAGTCTGCTCAGGGATGCTCACTCCACTCCAGACTGACATCCACCCATCAAGGCATTTTGATATTTGTATAACTTCTGCTAAGAGCCAGCCTGTTGCTTGCATCAGGGCTCATGAGAGGACTACTGAGACAGGATGCTGTGATGTTTTCAGGAAGCTATGTATAGCCCTCCCATCAGCCATGATCTGCTAGCATTGTATAGAGAAGCACATGATGTTATCACTGGGTCTAGAATAAGGTATGTTGTGAAAATTGAAAATTGAAATCTGTATCTGTTCTCATGCTGGGCAGAACTTCTGTTTTGCAGCAGACTGCCTTGTCTCAGGAATGGATACATGGTGTCTGTGTATAGGTTTCTATAGGCTTGTAACCTGAGTCAGCACTACAGGAAGAGGCCCTGAGCTGAAAAGGGAAGTTCTCCCCAAGCACGAGAAGACATGAGGATTTAAAAGGAAGAGCAGCAAAGAGAAGGGACACAACCATGGATTACAGTAAGGCGCACATTACAGTATTGGTTTATGTTAAAAAATCTGAGGGTTTAATGTCACTTTAACTAGTTGATGAGGAGGGAGGTAGGGACCAGGCAAGGCAAAATATAAGCAGATCAAACATCAGCTTTAATGGGTGGCTCTGAACACAAGGCTCGGGAGGGTTTGGATGTGATTACCGGCAGCCAGAGACCAATAAATGGTAAGTACACCTGGGAGACCTTTGTCTGGGCAGTAGTGTGTAGAGAGAGGAACCTGTCTCTCCCAAGGACAGAGTAGGCGACTGTGCTTCCTAAGCTGCACTATAAGCTGTGCTCAACACTGCCTGGAGCATGAAGCACAGGGGTGGCTTATAGGTGGCACTCAGCCATGTTGATTCCTATGAAATGTATTGCCATGCACTATCGACAAGAAAATACTTTTTTGAGCTGGGAATTCATATGCCGCACAGCCTAGAAACACCGTTATTATGCCTGGATATGTTTTTCCTGGGCTGATATGTATGGACTTTGTGATTACTGAAATAGTGTACAGTAAACGCTGTAGGAATGGGAATATCTGCTCAGGTGCTGAATGTTTAATAAAGGACTTTTTAATACTGGTGACTTTTTTATATTGTTACATGCACACAGAATGTGCATTTACCAATGCAGCCTCTGGCTATATATTTGGCAACCAACATTTTCAGAAGGTGGTCAGCAATGACAGTCTTTGTCTAGGAAGAAGTTTCTCTGTAAGCTGCAGTGCCTCATGGGTAACTGTAGGGGGCAGTGTATCACCAATTTCACAGTCAAAATTCCTCTAGGACACATTGTATATACAACTTCACATCTCACCTGATAAGCAAATCCCTCAGATCAGCAAACTCACAGTGCGACGAGTTCTCAACTGCAAGATGGAGAGGAAGAGATGTCAGCCAAACTGCACATAAGTCGAAGAAGAAAGTGTACTTACAAAGCTAAAGGTGGCCACACACAAATCCAAATGATCATTCAATGCAGCTACAATGGCTGAATCTAATAAAAGAATTGCAAACCAGAGACCCTCTCCTCGATTTATAGAGCTCTTGACCCATTTCAACCTTGCTGCACCGATCGGCCATGGCGGAATTTTGCCGATCGATTCTGATCGCTCCAACAGATATCTCTGTGTATGTGCCAGTGAGCTGATCATAATGCAGGTTGATTGGATCACTGTTCACCTTTATGACTGTCCCATGGTATTTTCTATATCTTCAGTCAAAGCGTTGAACAATGAGAGGTAAAAGTTATACAATAAGATGCTTTATCCTTGCGTTTAAAGGTTCACTTTAAAACAAAGTGCATTTATCCTTTTTCCCCCCTTCCTCTGACCTAATCTAACCCACCCTCCCCTCCACAAATTCCTGAATCCGAAGGCTGTGTTGTGTTACATCCAGTGGTGCAAGTCTTCACTGTCCCGGCGGCACCCACAGATTACGGTCCTATAGACTTCTATCGGTCTGTGTCCTGAGGCCGGAGACGAATGGAGACGCTCCCATAGAAGTCTACAGGGCTGTAATGTGTTGGCGCGGCCAGGACAGTGAGACACTGATGTAAACAATCAGCGGAACCGCGGACATCAGATTGAGGTAAGTATACAGCTGTGGAGGGTGGTTTAGGTAGGTCAGGGCAAAGAAGCAAAAGGCATAAGTGCACTCTGTCTAAGAGTGAGCCTAATACAGTTTATTAAAAAAAAAAAAAAACAGAAAGAAAAATAACTATTTATAACATAAAACTGATTATGATAAGTAATAATACAGTTATTAATAATGAACTGTTAAGCAGCGTTGAAAGATTATGACAAATACTGACAAATTGAAATTCCAGGCTTTATTCTAGGCAGCCCCTTTAAGAATGAAGAGGAAGAATGTCCCCCCATAATTGGGTAGGTGGTCTGGTCCTCCTCACGCAAATGATGGTGGATCTACAGCCACAATCAAGGTATTTGTGCTGCCACAAGCTGGCTGCTGCTGAGCTCGTGGTGGTACATCCCATCAGCGGGGGGTCTTGTCTTCATTACAGTGCAGGAGACATCGCTCTCCAGCACAGCATGGCCATGCCAAAGAACAGCTGGAAAGTTTCCGTCATCACTCGCTACCCCCTCCTCACCGTACACACATCCTACTGATGGGGACCAGATGCACACCTCCTACCTCCCTCCCTCTACCCAGGAACCTGAGACTAGGCTACGGCTAATGGATGAGCTATAGGGGGAGACGAGACATCCTCCAATATTAATCTACAGGTGTCAGGAATGGAGCAGCTTCCACGTTGAATGTAGACGTTGACTACCAGAAGTCTGAATCTGAATTCCGGGGCTTAGCGTACATCCAGATTGCGGGGGAATAATTTAAAGCGTAAGCTGTGGAATGGCTGGGGAGTCATAAACATGACAAATATTCTGATATGCGGAGCTGAAAAATGCCTCCATGCGTCTCACCTTCGATGATGCCCCACTTGGTTTTCCGCCCCAGGACCCTCTTGCCGTTGACCTGATGTTCCTCATCGGTACCTACCACGGCGAATGGGATTTTCTCCTGTGCAAGAAGAAGTGAAAAATATCTTTTATAATTGTTATCATTTTAGGTTTAGATCTATACAAAAAAAAAAACATACAGGGCAAAATAAACGGGCGCCCCTGATGACCTGATGTCTGGCAATGCATTGAGCTGCTACCCCAGAACAGGCATGCAGCAAGTGAAGTCTAAACTCCTGATATAAAGACTTGTTCTGCTTATGTTCTGCCCAGTGGAACTTGCAGTTTATATCAGTTCAATACATTGCAGGTGCAATAAAATAAAGGTGTGCAGTTCATTTCTTTTTAAAATCAGCCACAGCCTGAGCAGGGCCGGATTTAGTCTCTCTGCTGCCCCAAGGCCGGGTTCCCCAATGCGCCATGCTACCTGCCAAACCCACAACCC